TAAAGTGGAGACTTTGCCAAACATTTGCAGAAATTGGTGTTTTAAATAGCTCAGCTCAGAATTTTCTTACACTTTCCATGGCAACAAGTTCATCTGTTATGCAAATGTCATGTTAACAGTCTCTGTAAATGCATTGCTCTATTTCTTTTCTGCAAGATGGATATTTAGTGCTTGGTACAAACATATTTTAATACACGTAGACAGTTAGGTGTATGTGTATCTGTCTTCAGGTATATTGAAATATCTTCCCGAGGCAAGACTCCATTGCAACATTTATAATCTGGTTGGAAAATGCAGTGATTAAAAGGCTACTATTTGTATGTGAAGTGATGGTTAATGTGTAGCAATATGTTTATACAACAGGCAGTTTGATATTAATAGAATTACTGTGAAGTTTGTCTTCCATGCTTACTCTGTTCCTCTTTCTCCTGCTTCTACTGTGTAAGCTTGAAAGTGTCTTTTTAAGCAAGAGGAGATGCAAGTTCTGCTGGAAATATCACGGAAGAACCTTTGCTCACTGAATTTGCTTTTATTCTTGATGTCAAGCAGCCGTTTATCTCTGCTGCTGTTTGTGGTCTTCAAACAGCAGTAGTAGTACTGGCCATCGCGTTTCGAGTTGTAGCGAGGGAAAATACATTATCTAGAACAATGGGGCATGCAGTTTCTCTTCAGAGACCTTGCTTCTATAGCTTTTGCTTTTGAAAGATCCCTCCTGGAGACCTTCAGTATCACTTAACACATGTGAACCTGTTGCAGGACAGACTGTGTGCATGCACTACTTTTGCCTCTCCTACCAGCTTGCGATGAAAGGATGTGGAGAGCTGAACTAAGACAAGGGTGGTCAGCCCCTGGCATTTCACTTACGCGGGGATCGCAAGCAGTTCAAGTGCAGTGCCCTGCCGAGTCTTTTGTCGTAAGAACAGTGGCGGGTTTGTGCTAAGCACAAGGCCTGACAGATAATATGAGCCTCCAGCTGTGGGAGGAAGCAATCCAGCAGAGAATGGTGAGGCCAACATAGGCTGAATGTCCAGTTTTGTAGTACAGGGGTGGGACTTTGGCTATAGATAATTTCCAAGATTTTTCCAGTTTTTTCCAAAGTATATAGCTATATGCATTATGCATCTCCACCTTTAATGTTATTTGACATACTAGGTTTGGGCAGATTGACAATACAGAACTAAGATCTTCTGTAGCTCTAAATTATTCTCATGGTTCTCAGGAGTCAGAAGTTAAAATCATTTTGTGATAATTTTTGTACACTGGGAAACAGATCATGTCAATTTTAGTGTTTCGTTTGCTTAACCGTACCTAAAATTATGCCTACATAAACTAGTTGTAACTGATAACTTTGTAATGGTATTGCAAGAAAAATGCCCCACCAATTATTTATAATAATGATGGATTGAGGAAAACAGGGTAATAAAGGCATTTAAATGTTGTCTTTTTCTGCACGTTCTCATACATACTTGACAACATTGTTGAAATAGGCCTCCTAATGATACTGTGTATGTAGCCGTTCGGATTTAATTGACATCGCCTTTAATTAAATGTTTGTTTCAAAAATTGAGCTGTGCCTTGTATGACTTGAATTTCACCCTTAGAATTGCTGGGATACGAATGAAAATGTGCTGCTTTTGCATCCTTTTTACATCTTTTTTTTTTAATGTTCAGTTTTAGAAAGATTTAATCTTGAAAATGGGAAGTCGGTTAATGTTGTCATACTTAGTCTGTATTTCTGAATCGGAGAGATAGGTACCTTCCTACTTAGGGGAAGAATTTTGTCAGAGGGTGTTAGAAAGGGTTTTATGTGTGCGTGCACACTGACAAGTGGGATGCATCTCTATAGCCAAACTGGGAAATGCTCCTAGTAGCATATCTTACACTAACAATAAAATAAAAATAAAAACTTTTTCTGGCTTGACTCATACCAATTCAGTCTGTGGAAAAAAAAAATCTACCACCAAAGCTGTTCTATGGCAGCACTTGAATATCTGCGCCTTGGGGTCTTGGGAGGCATCCTATTGGTTCTGCAGTCATTTTTCTTGCCAGTACAAGAGCACTTTTCCCCAAAGCATTTCGTAGGCAGTGGTTTCATGTTTTGTTTCATTTTAAGTTGGAAGCTTTTGAGTTCAAAAGACGTTCCCTCCCCAGGTAATAATGTATGTGTGCGTTCAGAAGTACACTTCAGAGTTTTTCAGCTAAGCTTGCTCTAATCAAGTTTCAAAGCAATATTTAAATACAAGTAGTTAAAAGGAACTTTGGTATATTGTTGTATTAACAGTAATATTATGTAAGAAATATTGGAAGTTGATGTCATAATATTTAAGTAACTTTGTTTTAATAAAGTAGAATCGTTTTTCTTTCAAGGTTGTCATCTTTTCTATTCCTAGCCTAATATTTACTAGCTTTGTGACTTATCCCTACTATTTTTACTTTCGCTTCCTTTTTCTCCAATAACTTGCAGTGTGACATTTTGAACAACGTAGTGGAATAACCTCACCTATCCTAGATCACTTAAAACGTTGGACAGCAATTTAAAAATGGTTTAATTACCATAGGCTATGAGATGGTGGGTGCTGTGAGTCAAATGTTCTTTGACGCAGTAATATGATGGAGGTGTAAGTCTGCAGTGCTTAACATGCGGCCCCTCCTCAAAAATGAGTAACTATCCAATGGAGCTGTAGTATATGCTTTGAAATGTGGCTGTTGGCTTAGATCTTTAAATAAAATATTTTCAGAACCATGTGGGTTCAAGGTCATGTTTTCAGCAAATTTCTGTAATCTCCATGATTATATGAATAATCCTCATACACATATATTTATATATATATATGAGGCATGTTGTACCTACCAGCTTTCCCTAAATGTTAAGAGTTCTTAGCTGTTCTCAGTGACTGTAAGCAGCTCTTAACACACAGGTATGTTGCTCTTTATTTAGCCAAGTGGTTTGTGATTTGGCTTTGCTGTCTGAGCAGGTGCTGGTAGATAATAAGGAAAGGTTTTGTAAATGTGATTTCACTATGTAATGAATGGTGGCTAATGGTAGAATAAAAAAAAAAAGCTAAATGAAGACACTTAAATGCTAACAGAGGAAAATGTGTTAAAAACAGCCTTAGTATTCACATCTTCATAATGGGCATTTTGAATTCAATACCTTTTTTTTTCTGGTGCTTAGTTACTTTACTGTTTAATCAATTCCATTTCTTGTAAGGTCTTTAACATTTATATGCTGTGACATTCACAGTTGGACAAGATTCTGAGAAGTCACTGCAACATGTTTCTGCATATTTTCATGCTCTTCCAGCTAACACAACTTGGATTTAATTTTCTGGAGCGATTTATGCTGTTATTTTAGATAGGACTTTTTTGTGTGTAAAAGGCATTCATTTTTTCTAGCCTGTCTTCCAGAACAAACAACTAGTCAGATATTTGCAGATGCCTGAAAGTTTAAGGAATTTACTTTGAAAAGCATAACATCTCCTAGTATTCTGGATAAAGAAACAGGAATTCTGGTGCACAGCAAACTGTTTCTCAAATTAAAAATTAAGTTGCATCAGTATTTTAGAAGTCATTAATCAGAATAATGTGGAAATGGTTATGCAGTTGTCTTCTGCTGAATTTTCTGTAAGGACTTTTTTAGCTTGTATATACACTTAATCTTAATTTCATTCTCTCCAATGCCAAAATACTGATTTTTTTTCAATAGGAGGAAAAAAAAAATCAAAAGTTGATTTATAGAATAGTAGCAACTGCTGCGTGGGGTTGATGCAAACTTTCACTAATCTGAACCAGTCCCAAAGGCATTTGACTAGCGAGTTTATATTATTACACTGTAATTCGCATCATGTAACTGTGGTGATCACTGTTTGTGAGTATAACATGCAAATTTGTCCTTTTCCCTTCAGCCTTACCCTTTCAAGGTGGCTACACTCAACTGTGCTTTAAGAATACTTTTCAGGGGGTCTCTGATGTAGCTTCTCCACTGTTTTCCAGGAGACTTGAGATTTGGACAGGTATCTGTGGTACTTTTAAGCAACAGCGTGGATGGGGTATGGAGTAGATATGATACTGGACTGCAGTTAGTTGTTGACTATAAATTTCAAAGGAATACCGGAAACTCATACCAGTATTTCTTTTCCCTTATTAGCCCAAGATTTTTGAGAAGGCGAATGTCTATCTTCCGTATTTCTTGTAGGTGATCAAAACAGTGTTTGAGATCAGATGTGAGTGTCCTTCTTACTTTATGATCTTAACTGTGAACGTTTGGTGCTGCGCTTAAAGGTTATTGAAGATAATAGCATCTTGTACAATTTAGCAATATTTAATTATAGAATGCAGCTCCAAGTGTATGGAAAGACTGTGTTTAACTTCTTCCCTCCTGGCATCTGAGTATGCCTATCCCATCCCACGAGAAGTAACTCGGTGGTTTTACAGTTCCATTAGTATTTTGGTTAACAGCAAAAGTATCAGCACAGATAACTATAGGTTGTTTTGAGATGTCTTGGTTTGATCAATAAAATGAAGTATGGGCAAATAAAGATTACTTCTCTCTCTTAAATTCTTACTCTGTTGTCATCTGAACTCCTCTGGAATAAGTGGGACTACAGCATAAGTTTCTGGACATTGGCAGTGGCATGAGATTTCCTGTGCCTATTGCAACGTTTGTGCTAAATGTTATACAGGTATTGTAAAGGCGTAAGGCAGATAATGCTTGTGCTGACCTATCTACAACATAAGTGAAGGAAAGGGGAGAGAAAGGAAGGAACCATATTTAAAAATTAAGTTGCAAGACAAATTGATGCATTCCTCTTTGATCTTTGTCACTATAGACAAGTAGCTACTTTCCATCTGTTTCTTTCATTCATTTTCCTTTGCATCTTTCTTTTGCAATTCTTTTAAATGCACATACACGTATATTAAGTTCTGCCCTTCATTTATTCTTTTGTCATTGTTTCCATTTCACTTTCCCTGTGTTTCATTCCTGTATCTTTCTTGTTTAGACCAAGTGGAGGATCCAGCTGGCAGTAGCAGCCATGTAGGACCCTTCAGGAACCTGATGGTAAGTGCACGTGTGTACTTATACTCAGGCTTCCACCAGGTTCTGTAATCTGAGGCATTTTCCCCCTCCTGCAAGCTTCCGTTAGTTCTTGACATCTTAAACTGTAAGAAAATTAAGGGACAGACCTTGGGCTACTCATTGATACCCTTTGTATCAGAATAGGAGGTTGTGTTTTTCACTGAAAATCTGCAGGAAGAAAATGATGCAAATCTTTCAGGTTTACATGGATTTAAAAAGGACTTTGAGAACTCATGGAGGAGAGTCTTAGCAAAAGCTATTAAATATCTTCAAAAGTTCCTGAACTCTAGACACGTGAAAGCTGGGAGAGCATACCAATGAAGTATCACTTTACTATTACTCTATTCTTAAATTCTCTTCCTGGGCATCTGCTACTGAACATTGAGGGCCATGAAATGGATGCATCTGGGACAGTCACTGCCATGCTTGAGTAGAGTCTTTTAACCTTTACAAAGAAAGCTGCAACCTAGAAAATGAACAAACTAAAGCTGGTAAAAGGAAAACATCAAAAATCGGTTGGTATCTTTAGTTGATATGTGTCAGAAATTGATCTGACGCATCTAAAATTATGTATGTACGCAAGCAGTTTTGCTCACTATTCTGAGTAAGGGCAAGTAGGTGCTAGGTGAATCTTCTCTTCAAATGTGTTTGTGCCTAAAGGCCAAGAATGTGAAACATTTCCAGCTGTATCAGTGAGCAGGTTGCATTTTTCTGTTTGTTTTTTTTAGGCGTGTGGCAAGAGAACTTGCAAATGATCTTCTTTCCATTAATAGCATAAAGAAGTATGTGACTTAAGTAACTCAATTTTGGGTACAAATCCTGCTATTCTAGTGACTTCCCAGACTATAATTGTATTTGAGGTACTATAAATTTTATATTCTATAAATGGGTGACACTGGAAAACCTATGCACGCTTTAACACTTAGGAGTGTTTTTTGCTGTTGCTTTTACGTATTTTACCTCACGCTTTAAAGAGCACAATACATTTCTAATCTTGTTATGAGAAAGAATTAATTGGGTCTTGGTTTGAAGGCTTTTACAGTAACCTGTCATTATGCTGTGAAATTCAGTGCTGCTGTAGAATTAGATGTAGAATTGCCCAGTGACTTCATCTGCAATACCATCATGTGCTGCACCATCTAGTAAAATATTGTCTCTGACCGTGGCCACGTTTGGCATAGATGAGAGAGGCCTGTGGACCAGTCTTTTCCTTCTTGTTTCCAGTCGCGCTGTAGAGGTGAGAGATGAATCTAGAATTTTGTCATTTAAGTCAAGATACTGATGTTGGTCTTCAAATGATAAGCAGTCTGGAAAAAAGTTGATAGCTCTTAGAAGGTTCTAGCAATTAAATACGTTCTGTTACATCGCTCCTAAGGTGTATTGTGATGCATGTTTGATTCCTTAGGAATGTATTGAAATTTTACATTTAGACCTTTTGCCTAGAAATGGAACTGTTTGTTGATTGTGTTACTGTACATTTCAAGAGCGATTTCAGGTGACTTGGCAGATACTTCTGGAAACTTACTTGAAATCCTTCATACTGAGATCTTGGTACTACTGGTTGTAATTCCAAACATTGGAGGTGCTGATAATAAAAAATTATGTTCAAATTGGACATTCAGTAGCCTGTCAGGTAAAGATGCACTTAAACTCCTTATGCCTATGTGAATGCTAAAATACATGCTAAATCTTCTGACGACTTGCAGGTGTTTGATATAAAATACAATTGAATATTGTATTGTCAAATAAATCAGTGTTGGTTCATTATGGCAGATTTAGACACAGGGTTTGTTACAGTATTTGAGGATATTATGAGATAATTGCAAGTTCATTTTAGGAAGGGTGCATGTATATTTTCCAAAGGTGACAAAAATTCATTCTGAGTGACTATTGTCAGTTTCTCAGACTAAAAACTGTTAAATTGGAATAAGAAAATAAAAAAAGATAATGACATACAGGAAACTGAAACGCACCGGAATCTGGGGAGACCCTGTGAAATCTGAGCTCCTTGAGAGGAAATATAGTTAATTATTTAGATAGAATAGAATGTTCAAATAAAAACAAGCATTTCCTTTTAAAGCTGACCTGTGTCTGAGCTGTTCTATTGGAGGGGATGCATACTTGGAAATTTTCAGTTTGAGTAGAGGAACATTTTTTAAAAGTCATTTCAGTTTCTTGAAAATATTTTTCACATCTTGACAAGGAAAAAAAGGAGGAACTTGTTGACAGGATTGTGAGTTGGAAGAATGTGCTTCTAAATAAGAAACTGATTTAGGGCTATGATGCGCACTTCTGATTAGAGGGAAGGGTCAGTGCGTTAAAAAGTAGCATTTTGTGTGTTAGAGGGAGCAAAGGAGGAATTTGGATTGCTGCTTCTGGACAATTCTCGTTCCTAAGAGCTGGTGTGTAGAAGTGTGACATTTCAGTAGAGACTGGTGTCTCAACCACAGTGTTGTATATAAAATAATCATTCTGTATGGAGAATATGGTCTTTGCAATGAATTGAATTGGAAGGCCTTAAAGTTTTCATTTGTTAATACACAGTCCATATCATAATTTCTATATATTATAGGACTGAATCTTTAAGATTAATGGAGTAGCAGTATAACTTTGTAGTGCATTGGTAAATGAAGTTTTCAGTGTTTTTACATCTTGCGTCACTGATTAGGTGTTTGCATAATGCCATTTTGCCCTCATCTTCATTGTGTTCATCATCCTGTGCAACTAATACATGCTTCTTAATTTTGCTAACAGAAAGCGTTAGCAAACTTGTTTATGTCAGTGGACACGATGAAATACATTTATATTTTACTGTTACCCAGTTCCATCTAATTTGGTTTTACTGTCTTTGCTTTGTTGGTCAAGATCATGCTGCTTTTAGTCTTCTCATAATGTTATTACTTTATTGCTTTTATTACAACTCTCTTCAAGTCACTATTCAGAACGTTCATACAAGTAGAGAAGCCTCTATGGGTTTCTACTTCATAAGGTCTTCCAATTAACATTAAGGATTAATAGTATATGGCGAAATCTCATATTTTCCATATACTTGTATGAGATACAGTCATATGGCTATTAAATTACTGTATTGGGTAACTGTATGATGTGAGCTGGTTAACTCTGGACAATACGTTTCTGTTACAGTCTATTCTTGCTTTGAAAGTGAGCAAAGTATTTCGGAGTCTTAGGTTTTTAGAAACTCATTGTTATCTTTACTTTTAATTTCTTCTGGGCTCTAGAGGCTTACTGCTTTATCTGAATGCTGTCCTTTTTTTTAATCTGTCATTTGTATTCCTCAGGAAAACAGGGTTTCTACAGAAGTGTGTTATATTCCAAAGCTGGGTGTTTTAATTCTGCCACGCAAATACAAAAAATGAAAATTGTTGAACAGGAGTAAAAATGTTGTTTTTTTCTCCCCAGGAAAGAAAAAGACTCAGGAAGGTAAAAACAAGGGAAAGAAGGCAGTGGATACAAAACAGAAAAAAGCTGATTTGGATTCTACTTCTGCAAATATGAGGGATTCTAAAGAGGGTGAGTTCTCAAGTATCTTATTTTTTTCCTTCTATCTTTTTGAATCAAAGGACACTTTTTGTCATGTTTAGTATGTTAGCATGTTATATTAGTGTAGCAAAGTGAACATGTTTATATTGTTTGCCCAAACTTCTTTATTAGTAAAGAACTTGGATATCAGAAGTATGTCATTAAACATAGCACTCTGACAACAGGAAAAACTAATGTACTGTAAAATATAGACATAAATCGAAACTCCTTAGAACAGAAGAGCAGAGAAAAGTCCTTATTCTAAAATAATGTCTTCGGAGCTTAGTTATACAGTCATTACTTATTGCTATTTAACAGAAGTTAGTGTCAAGGTTAAAAAAATACAGTATTAACGCACCGACTCACTAAGTGTGCTGTTTGTCCTAAAGATTATCCGCAAAGGTTGTTTATAAATTGGCTTGGCTTTTTTTCACATAGTATTTATGTAAAAATGCCTGAAAGGTATTTTAAATATATAGTTTTTTGTCTGTTTTACAAGAATGTAAAACTTGCCACTGGTGTGTAACCGACAATGTTTAAAGCTCTGTATAGGTACTGATTTCTCTCAAGCTTCTTTTCTTGAACTTCTTTTGACCCATAACTCTTCCATTCCTTCACTCTGTTGTCCCTTCTGTTTGCACAACACGTGTACCACGGTTCCAGGCGTCTTGCGCCCCAGCTAGGGAATGGAGAGGAACTTCTTGCTCTATACATGTAACCACTTATGCAACATGGTGTGAATTGGCAGCAAAGTTATTTTCTTCAGCAATGGATATATCTGACAGCAGATGGGTAAGGCTAGCATGCAGAGGTGTGAATAAAGAATCTGTCCACACCAATAAATGAGATGCATGCAGGCTGTGATTCAGAAGTGTAGGAAATAGCCATTCAGGCAATGGCTAATAGAAAATCTGATACAAAGAATGGAAAGCACTATGCCAGACACAAGGTACACCTTGCTGTGCATTACAGTACAAATCCAGATTATTTTCTTGTTAATAATTTGGGGAAAACTACCGAAATCCAAAATTTGCTTGACAGGCTTCCTATATACTTTATCTGTATGTATTGCAGTACTTTCCTGACACTTATTTGCTGTAAGAAAAGTCAGTGAAAGTTTTTTGGAGGTTTCTTGAAATGTTCTGAAGTCTACCTTGAAATGGTAGGACTCTACCATCAGGAATCTACCTGAAATGAAGGAATCTACCTTCTGGTACTCTTCAGGCTGTTTCGGGTTTCTTGGCCACAGTGTTAAATGCAAAGATTCTCTGTTAAGTGTAGGCAGTTGCTTACATTTGCTGGAGTTCCAGAAAGGAAATTTCTGAATACAGTTTTACTCTCGTACTGAATCACAACAGTGAGAAGTAGTGGTATTGTGTTGGATCATAAATGTTGGATATGCTGTGTTAGAGGAAAAGGTAGAAGAAAGGTTTAGCATACTTTGAGGTGTTTGGTAAAAATGTCTCATGCTTTTCTTTTCATACTTTGTGCATCAGGTCATAAAGAGGAAGATGAAACACCTTCTGTTTCTGCTGTACTGTCCCTGGAACAAACAGCTGTGATTCAGGAAATGGTAAATCAAGATGTACTTCCAAAGCTGATGATCCCCAGTCCTACCAGTGAACCACAAATGGTAACTGAAGACAAACAAGGAGAAGCAATAAACTGTGCATCGGATGATTTAGATGATGATGAAGAGGAGGATGATGAAGAGGAGGAAGATGAAGAGGAGATAGAAGATACCAATATGCCTAAAGAAAATGCTGAAATGCCTTTGATATGTGAAGAAAAGTTAGACTCTATGGAAGAGCAAAAGAGTACGTCAGAAGACTCCCCAGAAAGCTCTCCAAAGAAAAAACTTGTTGTGAAAATTCCAAAAGTGAGAGGTGAATCAAATGGTGATGTTCAGGAAACATTCATGTTTCCCTGTCAGCATTGTGAGAGGAAGTTTACAACAAAGCAAGGACTTGAACGCCACATGCACATCCATATATCTACTATTAACCATGCTTTCAAGTGTCGATATTGTGGGAAAGCCTTTGGTACTCAAATTAACAGGCGAAGACATGAGCGACGTCATGAGGCAGGGCCAAAAAGGAAACCGTTCTTAACACTAACGTCATCACAACACTTGGATAACGTTGCTGATAACCAAGTAATTGTGGATGATGGTCTTAAAGATGACCTGAACATTTCCAGTCTTGTGCAAGACTCTGTTGTCTTGGATTCTGAGAAGGTTTCCCAAGAAATGTCAAACTCCTCTTTTGCTGAGGAAAATAAGGAGCCCAGAGAATTGCATCCATGCAAATACTGCAAAAAGGTTTTTGGAACTCACACCAACATGCGGAGGCATCAGCGTAGGGTTCATGAGCGTCATCTTATTCCCAAAGGTGTCAGAAGAAAAGGATTCTTTACTGAAGAGCCACCGCTTCAGACAGAGCAGGCCCCACCAGTCCAGAGTGTATATATAGCAAGTACAGAAATAGAAGAGGAAGGTGAAGTAGATGATGTCTATATTATGGATATTTCCAGCAATATCTCTGAAAATTTAAATTATTACATTGATGGTAAAATTCAGTCCAACAGCAGCACTAGCAATTGTGATGTGATTCAGATGGAGTCCAACTCTGCAGACTTATATGGACTAAATTGTATAATCAGTCCAGTCACGGTGGAAATTTCCCCAAATTTAAAGGTTACGCAAACACACGTGAATGAACCTCCTAAGGAACCCTCTAGCAGTGGGAGCAATGAATCCAAAAAGAGGAGAACTGCCAGCCCTCCTCTTGTACCAAAAATAAAAACGGAAATAGACCCAGAACCTATAACTCCTACTAGCTCTTTAAATCTTCCTCTTAGCATTTCAACAGAAAGCTTACCTTTTCATAAAGAAAAAGGTGTTTATTTGTCATCAAAATTAAAACAGCTTCTTCAGACACAGGACAGTAAGAAGATAACTCCGTCAAGTGAAATCCCTAAACTAGGACCTTCTGTTACATCATCACCTATTTTGCCTCCAGTGTCCAGTAGATTTAAAAGAAGGACCAGCTCTCCACCCAGTTCTCCACAGCACAGTCCAGTGCTTCGAGATTTTGTCAAATCAGGTGAGGGAAAAACTGTGTGGAATGATAATATTCGGAGTTCAAAAATGCCAAAGTTAGAAAGCCACAGCAACTCACCTGCTTGGAGCTTGACTGGAAGGGAGGAAAAAGAGACTTTGAGCCCTCTTTGCTTTGAAGACTATAAAATACCAAAAGACTGGACAGCAGCTCCGACTTTTGGCAATGTGTGCAACCAGCAGCCACTGGATTTATCTAGTGGTGTGAAACAAAGGTCTGATGTCAAAAATAAGAATCAGGTTCCCTGGGAATCTGTTTTAGATTTGAGTGTGCATAAGAAGCCTTGCAGCGATACTGAAATTAGGGAATATAAAGAAAATTCCATACAGCCAACTTGTAGCGGTGTTAAAAAGAAGAAACCAACCACTTGCATGTTACAGAAGGTTCTGCTGAATGAGTATAATGGAACGGATGCAGCCACAGACAGCACACTCGGTGTAAACAGGAGCGCAAGCCCAAGCAAATCCCTGGAGCCTCAGGCAGAACCTGACATGGATCCCAGTCTATCTGCATCGTCTTCTGTTGACACTCAGCCCCTTAGTTCCTCTGTTTCCCCTGTACCACAGACATCTGCTGTACCTTCCATGTGCCAGCTGCCTCCTTTGCTAACACCAACCAATCCTCCTTCCCCACCGCCCTGCCCGCCTGTGTTAACAGTTGCTACATCACCTCCTCCCCTTCTTCCAACAATGCCGTTATCAATTCCAGATGTCTCTGCCAGTGCCACTAACACTTCTTCTTGTCCATCGCCACTTTCTAACACTACTACCCAGTCCCCGCTACCAGTTCTTTCACCTACGGTTTCTCCTTCCCCATCTCCTGTTCCTTCTGTTGAACCTCTTATTTCTGCTGCTTCACCTGGTCCTCCTACACTCTCTTCCTCATCTTCCTCCTCCTCTTCCTCCTCTTTCTCCTCCTCTTCATCTTCATCATCTCCATCTCCACCTCCTCTTTCTGTAGTTTCTTCTGTTGTTTCTTCTGCTGATAATCTTGAAAATACTCTCCCAATAATAAAACAGGAGGAAGCTGAAAATGAACAACAGAAAGCAAGAGAAGATCCTCGTACTTCAAGTGAATTGGGAGTAGTGCAGGAAACATTCAATAAAAGCTTTGTGTGCAATGTCTGTGAATCACCTTTTCTTTCTATTAAAGACCTAACGAAGCATTTATCCATTCATGCTGAAGAATGGCCCTTCAAATGTGAATTCTGTGTACAGCTTTTTAGGGATAAAACAGACTTGTCGGAACATCGCTTTCTGCTTCATGGAGTAGGAAATATCTTTGTTTGCTCGGTCTGTAAAAAGGAATTTGCTTTTTTGTGCAATTTGCAACAGCATCAGCGGGATCTCCATCCAGACAAAGAGTGCACACATCATGAGTTTGAAAGTGGGACTTTGAGACCCCAGAATTTTACTGACCCCAGTAAGGCGAACGTGGAGCACATGCAGAGCCTGCCAGAAGATTCTTTGGAACCTTCTAAAGAGGAGGAAGATGAAGATCTAAATGATTCCTCCGAAGAGCTTTACACTACTATAAAAATAATGGCTTCTGGAGTAAAATCTAAAGATCCAGATGTTCGTATGGGCCTCAATCAACACTACCCAAGCTTTAAACCACCTCCATTTCAGTATCACCATCGTAATCCGATGGGTATTGGAGTTACTGCAACAAACTTCACTACCCACAATATTCCACAGACTTTTACTACTGCCATTCGATGCACAAAATGTGGGAAGAGTGTTGATAACATGCCGGAGTTACACAAACACATATTGGCCTGTGCATCTGCCAGTGATAAAAAGAGATACACACCTAAAAAAAATCCAGTACCACTGAAACAGACAGTGCAGCCTAAGAATGGCATGGTTGTTATAGCTGGCCCTGGAAAGAATGCCTTCAGACGAATGGGGCAGCCTAAAAGACTTAATTTCAATGTTGAGATTAGCAAAATGTCCTCAAATAAACTAAAAATAAGTGCATTGAAAAAGAAAAACCAACTTGTCCAGAAAGCTATCTTGCAGAAAAAGAAATCTGCCCAGCAGAAGGCAGAATTGAAAACTAATCCATCTGAGTCAGACTCTCACATCTGCCCCTACTGTAACAGAGAGTTTACTTATATTGGAAGTTTGAATAAACACGCGTCGTATAGCTGTCCCAAAAAGCCCATCTCTCCCTCCTCTAAAAAGAATTTTTCAAAAAAAAGTGCAAGTTCTTCACCTGCAAGCAGCGAAAAGGGCAACAACCAGCGTAGGCGAACAGCAGATGCAGAAATCAAAATGCAAAGCATGCAGCCTCACTTGGGCAAGACAAGAGCACGAACCTCAGGACCTGCACAAACCCAGCTTCCTTCTGCATCCTTCAAATCAAAACAAAATGTTAAATTTGTACCTCCCATTCGATCGAAAAAGCCAAATTCATCTTCGTCATTGAGGAACTCTAGTCCTGTAAGAGTGTCCAAAATGTCCCACGTTGATGGGAAAAAAACTAAGGTGGTCGCTAAGAACAATTCCTCTGGAATCTCAAGCAAAGCATCCCGGAAATTGCACGTCAGAATACAAAGGAATAATAAGGCTGTTTTGCCAAGTAAGTCTGCTGTGGCAAGTAAGAAAAAGGCAGACAGATTCATTGTAAAATCTAGAGAGAGGATTGGAGGACCTATTACACGAAGCCTACAGCAGGCGGCAAATGCAGAGGCAGCAGAAAACAAAAGAGATGAAAGCAGTGCAAAGCAAGAACTAAAAGATTTCAGGTAAGCATTTCATTTGAAGTTGAAACAACACAGGAACACATTGATTGTGGTTTTTGCCAATTTTCTTGATCTTTTTTGAGTTTCTCATAAATAAAAAAAAAAAGGTTGCATTTCCTCAAACATGGTTAAGTAGCTCAGTCATGCTGAGGTGTGATGTACATACTTGATGCATTTTGTCATGTTGTCATGAAATGATACATAGTTTGTATAGAGAATGTCTTTAATTATAAACTGAATTGAAAACTCTGGAAAAAAAATGTCAGTGCCTAAGTCCAAATAAACTTAACGTCATTAAACTTAATGTTATTGGAGACAACGACCTTGTATTTGATATCCAACATGTATGGTGGCCCAGAATCATTGTAGGTTTAGTTTATGGTGGTTTGCTAAGCTAAAAATCATGACTACATTTTTTACTCACTAAAATAACTTGCACTGTTGGTTTTTAATAAAAAGCATTCTCTGCATATCATATAAAAAACCCCCCCATGACCAAATACTTCAAAAATGTATGTGCATACTAATTGAGTCAGATCATTAAATACTTAATATAAGGGAAATAGACATGTAAGAAAAGTTACATGAACATGTAAATTTGTTAGAAGTATCATGCTCTTATGTTTCAGTATAAACAAATTTTATTATGAAAGTTCTATTTCTTTTTGAGAAGAAGCATTTTAATCACAAGAAAGGGTAATACTTCAATAAATAAATAAATAAAATCTTAATCTACGTGCCTGAGTCCCGACTTACGTCTTCATGTAGTCTCTCAAATCAATAGGATATTTTGCAAAGTGTTTATAACTATTAGCAGGCTCCTGCCCTGTTATTCTTGGAAACAGGTATCTGATTTGCCGAGTAACTTTCACAAAGGTCACTGGTAATTAAGAGTTCTTTTGGTTTTGGTAATTGCGGTGCATGGCTGTGATGAACACCAGATTTATGGCTGAAGGTAGTGTTTTTTTAATCAAAGTAATCGATAGTGGAGGAGAGGGAGGAACTGGCAGCCTCCTTCAGAACAAGTGTCCCCTAGCAGAATTTGTCAAGAAGTGTCAAAATCCAAACTGTTTGTGGCTTGTGTGTCTTACGGTGAAGACCACCTAGGTGAAAATTTTGAGGAAATACTTTGTAAAGTAAAGGTTCAATGTAACAGAATTATGTCAAAGTGCTAGGGGGGAATTTGACTTAAAATAGTCAATACCCAAATTAGGATGTGTTGAAGGAGAAAAATGTTACTGGAATTCGGAGACTAATGGTGTAAAAAATGCCTTAAGGAACAAGAGCTGTCTACCAGGCCTGTTCTCTTGGGACATAAACATCTTCATGTTACTTAATTCTCATCAGCTGCTCTCTTAGTGTTATGTGTGAAACCGTATTTTACATGATGCCAGAACAGATCAGTAGAATTTGAAGCCAGAATGACACATCTTTCCATCTAAATTAATCATTTGACCTTAAGCAAAATAACCGAGTACTTGGAAATCTGTGCATATGGAAATTGTTTAATAGTATTTGGGGTAAATAACAATTTACGTAGGGGTAAGATCTCCTTGACTGTCTTAAATACTGTTAGTTTACTTTGGCAGCTTGCAGTCTTTGCTGGTTTAAAGAATAGTTATGCTAGAAGAGTTCTTGCTTTTTGTTTCTGAAATAATGTTTATAAACCTAGATTGTCTAGTCAACTTTTTTTTATATCAAGTATATAGTATGAAGATTTTTTTTGCCTTCATACACTAATGTCAACACAGGCTAACTTCAGTTCTACTCTGTAGGCACTGTTGGTGTTTTGGTTCCCACCCCCCAGCCCCCCCAGGAACTCTTAATTCTTAATATTTTTTTCAAGACTTGCTTCATGTAGTATTTGTCTCCAAATTCGTTTTTCACCTTTCAGTTTTTCTGTGTAAACATACTCCGTTCACAAATAGTTTGTTTTGTCATTTATCTTCAGTTTTTGTTTTTTATTTTCTAGGAATCTCCTGTAAAAACAAACCAAACAAAAAAATCCCTTAATGACATGGTAGAGCTGTTGCATGCTCAACTTAGGATAAGCACTACGACAATGGATGTGAAATCCACCAAGCTTGCGAAACCAGCTGAAGCTGACTCACAATCATAAAATTGCCTGCAGGCTTCTTGCTAATATTCAGTGTCAGGCATAGATTTTCTTATTTCGTGCTTGACACACATGCTGGGCTACAGGATGATTCAGATAAGAGAAGAGTACTATTAAAAACAAAACAAACCCACAGGAAGCCATCAAAAGAAATAGTGGGATTAACTAAACCAAACCTTTTGCTCTCGTGTTTGCTTAGATCCTGGTTTTGTCCGTACCTTCACGAATGGCATACAGGCAGTTCAGTTGTGTGCTTGGCAAAGCAGGTTCCTTAGTTTTGCCAATAATTCAGTGTAGATTCAGGGACAACAAATGTTGCTGCACTCAAAGTATTTTTGAAATGTATTAAGTCTCTTAAAGCCTTTTGTCTAAATGAATCAGTAGAGGCCAACCTCGCACGACAGACTTTCCTTTTCTTCCCACCTTCTCCTCACTTTCTGAGTCTTTTAGATGTCCGGCATACAGTGGGAAAAAGCCTGATTTGGATGTTTTATGGATTTTCCAAATTCCTATTTATACACGCAAATGAAACTTTATATAGCAATGAAATATCGATATCAATTTCTAAATACCATATATATGATGAATGCAGTGTATCTTTTTATCGATAAGAAGGCTAGACCAGGACTACATACCTGTATATTTTGAAAGTTAAATATATAATTACTCTAAAAGGTCGTACACCTCTATCTAATAACTTAAGACAACAAATTGGTCTGTTGTTCGTAACAGCTTTTTATGGAAATACAGTTTGTCATGTGTTCATATATCTTTCAAGATTAATGACAGAATTGATGGAAAGTGACTAGTTTCTTTATACAGCCACCCCTTTTATTTTTTGTTCTTGACTTAAAAAGTAATCTACCTCTTAAAAATTTGTAGTTTAATACTGATTTGGTGAATTTGTGCCACTTTAACTTTCACTTTCACTATCATTCCCATTTTGTTACATTTCTGTTATGGGGACTTTATGTTGAAATATTGTATAAAGCATTTGTAGCAAGTTTAAAAAATAAAATATTTAAAATTATTTAAATTGTTTTGGACACTTCAATTGTACTATATGTGATTTACATTTTACATTAATTTCATTTTGTTTTCATTTTGGGTTGTTAATCTTGGAGCATGTTCCTGTATTGAAGTTTGCTGTTAGTTATATTGTTTCTTCTATTGGAGAGTGATATAAAGACTATTCTAATGAAAACATTAAAAATTACAATTTGACATAAAAGTGGGGTTGTCATTGCTTTTGAACGTTGTAGCCTTGCTGAAGATACTGTAAATGCAGGTAAGCGACTGAAGAGGGATTTTTCTCCTCCAGCATGCGATACATCATGTAAGCTGCAGATTATTAAGAGAGTCTGTGTGGTGTTGCAAGCACTTAATGACCAACTAGATGGAACTATCATGACACATTTTATATAACTGTAACCAATAAAGTAAACTTTTTAAAAACGTGTGGGAAACTTGCCTTTTGTATGGAAACCAGATGTACCAGAAAAAATGAAACAATGTACATCTAGAAGGAATTAAGTGTGCTTGCATCCTTTAGTTGTCTACACCCAGTTCACCGGAACAAATTTATACCAATTTGACACTTCGGAGTTAGTCTTAGATTTTTGTTTTTTAATTGTGGACACAGTTAATAAATATAAATGATTTTAATTAAAATTACACACACCATTTCAACTTTTTCTGATATTATAATGTTCTGGTTTTATATGCTTTAAACTTGTGAAATAGTTTAATTTAAAAAAATACATGTAGAGAATTTTGGCTCTGAGAATTTTGGAATGTTGTATGCCACCACCAAGATATGCATTCCGCCTCCTGCAGCAGAGCTGGAAGCATCTGTGTCCCTATTAGTGTGGCAGTTGGATGGAGTAATGTAACATCGTTAAGGCTAACGATATTACAGTAGCCAATTTCTTAGCATATTCACTACTAATCCAGTAGTAAGTTAATATTTTATGTAGTTGTCTATTCAAATTAATATTTTTGTATTCTGTAAGATTCTTTGGCAAGAATTCCCTATTTATTTTCTCATGTGATAAGTCATTCCTTGAACATGTTATCCTCTCCATAACAAAATTTCCCTGAATTTTAACTGATAGGGAAAATCTGGTACAAAAACATTTTGGTTTGCATACCCATAGTTGTATTTGGATATTTCATAAGAATTGGGAAATATGGGGGGGTAAAAAGGTAAAAACTCTCCAATAGTTTTGAAGTTACTGAGGGTGGGACATAAACTTGTCCTTAACTAGTCGTTCCACATCTTTTTTCTGTTACTGACAAATGAAACACTAGTTGGTGTTTGGTTTTACTGCAGTCTTGGTATTTCGATCACCTTGTAAGGATTTATTAGAGGTGTCTAGCAGTGACCTGATCATAAATAAACCAACTTCCTTCCCTCATTCCTTAATATTATGGCAGAAATCCTATTGCCAGTGTCTTTACTGTTTCTCTGCTGTGATATTAAAGCCCGCTGTGTCCCAAGGATGTTGCCACACTGAGACGTTCATGCACGTTCGTACACACCAGTTCTCAAGTGAAGTGCTGTATGATGGAGAGCTGTATTCCAAAATGAGAGCTAATCGTCAAGGAAGAAGTTTCATTCCTAAATAGGCGACTCATCACAGATAGGAAATGTACAACTTTTATAGTTCCTATTACTATTGCATCTCATCTGCATAATTGAATCTCTATGGCTTTTATAAGTGCCTCTTTATGATCTGAATGAAACAATAAAGCTGTAATGGTGCCCACAAAGTGCTGACGTTTCTTGAAATGCATCCAAACAGGCAATGAAAACAATTAAACTTGTCCTGTTTACAGAGAGTAACTGACGTGCTAGTCAAGATCAAATGCAGTGTCAGTTTAATAAAAACAGTAATGCTGAAGTGTGTATGGAGATGGGAGATCTAACACATTGTTTACCTTTCTTTTTCTTTCTGTTATCCAGTTTGCTAGAAGGAGTTAAAACCAGCTTGTATCAGAGAATGTCTTAAATGTGTTCAATCCTAGGCATTACAAGATGGTCCAAGTGATGCAGCCAGGCCCCCCGCATAGAGTGTTTTCCTGCCTTGCTCTGCAAGCTCCTGACCCTTTGTGTAAGCTGCCTGTAGTTGGTTTAGGCTAGTGTCTTTCTGGTACTATGTTTTGTCGGCGTTTTGTATTGTAAGCCTTTTATTTAAAGTTCTAGTTTAGTTCCTGATGATTTTCTTTAGGGAGATGACATAGAAAAATACATTCTGGCAATGTGGTGTGTACATTTTCAATTTCAAACGTAGAAATGAATAGCACTCCACTTACTGAGGTTTGTGACTTCATTTCCGAAATTACGGGGCCGGTTCCAGCTTTTACTGGAGTCAAGTTCTGCTAAGAAGCTGAGTTGCAAGTGATAAACTGTGACAGACAAATAGCTTGTGAATGACCTTAAAAAGAGAACTTAGAAGACCTTACATACTAATTCTAGCTTTTATTTACTGAATGTGTGATCTGCATGAGTCACATGATATTCTACTTCTATTCATGATGAAAATGAGCTAAAGGATAGATTCTGAACAACACGTGCATGCTGTTTTGGATCTGAGCTTTTGTGGTAAGTGAATTATGAAGAAGAGGTAAACTTCCACATCTTCTGTTTAATTAAACTGGTAAAGAATTAGAAAGAAACTCCTGGAATTAGCATGAAATTTCATAGTAGTAACTGAAGATACTTTGATACCAACATAGAGCAAAGCTGATTTTGGGTCACCCCTATACAATATTTAAAAATAGAATATTAATACTTGTTGTAGAATTAATACCATGCCGTGTTTGGTGTTTTTAAGCCATAGCTGGAGTTCAAAAGTGCTTCCAAAAAGCACTCAACAGTTGGATGCACAAATCTTACAGAAGTTTAATGGGAGCACTGTAAAGCTTCACCTATACAGCCACAATAATCTGAATTACTTTTTGAAGTGGATTGCTTCATCTAAACTTTGTGGACAGACAGTTATCCAATATCTAGTGAACTGAGGGTGAAAGGCTACTCAAAAGAGATGTCTTAGAAAACACTTGGGAATAAAGTACAAATTCAAATGCCCAAGAGATTTCAAAGCAGCTTATATTCGGATTGCAGTAAAAATCCATATGGTTTCCTGTTTATGTATGCCATGTGATGCATTTTAATTATAGTAATTATTCTAATTATATTTTAATTATATAGTTGCATACTGTATTTTTTTGGTAGAAACCATGTCACTTAATTGATAGGGTGGAGCTGCTCTAAAAGTGAATAGCAGCTCTCTAATGGAAGAGGGTATGTGTGTAGGACCTTCCAGTATTTTTTGGAAGAGTGGGAAGGTGAGGAAAATAATTCTATTTCAGAGCAAGACGCAAATAGAACACTATAAGAAAGGCACGGTATGTTAGGTGTACAGTTAATGGTCCATTTTACACACCAAATGAGACAATGAAAAATGTTCATGTTGTTAAAGATGGGTCTTTATTCCATACGTATGAATGACTTGAAGTCATTTCCTAAGCTTGCTTTGGGATCTTGACTTTGCAATTTAAGTAATGTCTTATAGGTATTTTTTTGGTGAAATTAATACCAAGGTAACACTCAGGCTGTAGCTGAAGTCGGTGCTACTTTGTGCTCATCACTTAAGGTCAGGCGAGGGTCCCCACCCGAATGTTTAAAACGCAAATAGACGATTGGACCAAGAGCGGGAAAGGAAGCTGTTGGTGTAAAGCATGCAGTGTCTCATACGAGATCGCTGGCAGAACTCGGGAAGGAACAGGATGAGTCCTGTTTCTGGACCACAGTCTCTTCAGCCACTAACTGCTTTTAAACCTCTTCCTTAGTTAAGAGGAAGCCTTATTGCTATTGAGTCGCCTCTGACTACTGCTTCCCGTGCATGCTTCATCGCTTTTCATTCTCATTTTGCTGATCCTGCACGTTTACTTCTCTTAGTAAGTCCTTAAAAATGCTTCTGGTAGAGTGTACTTTTGAAAGCATGCATTTGAAAAAGAGCATTGAAATACTGCTTTTTTTTTTTTTCAGATACAAGGCAGTAAAACACTGAAACTCAAAGGGAGGCTTGAGCAGGCATCAAGCTGGAGGGAGGCTTTTTCTTAAGAGATAGGTAGCTGCTTCATTTTCCTAATTTATTCAAAGCTCGAGTGGTTTGTGGCACGTAGTATAGTAATCAGCAACATGCACTTTGTTTGTATATATCTCTCTCTGCTTATTTTTTTAAGACTTTCATGTTTCACAAGCCAAACAGGGTCTCTGAGTCATGTTTTGGATGACAGTACTGCCAGAAACTGCCAAAGGGTTGTGAGAAACAGCTTTGATTATTCAGCAGGTGATGTTCCATTTTTCAGAAATACAGGCTCAGCAGTCAGTCTGTATGGTGCAAGGTGGTATTACACGCTGGAGGTGTGCTGCCTTTCAGATGAACAGCAAAATTGAGACTTGCGCTACTCATAATGCCCTGTGTCAGTCAAAAAAGAAGAACCATCTCATATCTTGGCCTGTTTCAGCAGAGCCCGCCTCAATTCTTTCTGCAGTTTAGGCAATGCTACTCAGCAAAGTTAAATGCTTACGGTAGAGTAAACACAGGGACTTTTTTCCAGGGAAGTAATTTTGTCAAGAGCACAGAGGATGTGCTACCTGCTAAGGGCATTTGAAGGGCTGGTAGCAAGTGGAAACAGAAGAGAGCTCAGTCTGTTATCCTTGCTGCAGTTCAGTGTTGAACCGTAAGCACTGGTGCTGCTCTTGGAGGGAGTTTGCTTTGGAAGTGCTCGGGCAGACGGAGCAAACTCACTCTTGTGCAGATCGTGTGTGCGTAGCGGTTAGTCATGTTCCAACTGTGACTTGATGGTAGAATTTACTTAGCGTTTCATTTAGGTACTGTGATTTCTGGTAAACATTGCAGTGTGGAAGGAGGTAGGAAGATGAGAAATAATGAATTCTTCCGTCGTTGAGCTGCTTTGAAGAGTTGCACACTCAAACTCCGCTGTCACTGGAGTTTGACT